TCCAGCATCTGCTGAACGATACGACACTTCTGATAAACACTCACCAAAGAGGAACTCCAAAACCGCTTTCGCTTTCCTCGAAATGGCAGCATAGTGCAATGCAGTAGCGCCAGTCTTAGTATTCGCCACATTCACATCACAGTGATAATCGTCAACTAATTTTCTCAACACCAATACTGCTTTTTCATCGTGCCCTTTTTGACAAACCTGATGATAATTCTTCACCAGCAGTTTTCTCTCATTCAACCTTACTTGCTGTAAAATAGTGTCACCAGTTTCCAAATTCGGGCCGTCCGGCACCGCACCATACTTCAAAAGAAGATCCAGTACTTTCTTGTCACAATTTTTTTCCAAAGCCACCCGGAACGGGTTCACTTGCTGATTGGAATAAACGTTCACCTGTATCACGCACAGCGAAGATTTTCAAGATCTTTTTCTGCTCTCTGCGACTTACATTGGCACCAGCTTTCAAGAGGAGCTCAACCATTTCGTCTCGCGCTTTCGTTTTCCTCAACGCGGCGAATAACGGCGTTTCCCCGTTTCCTATTCTCCTGTTCGGGTCTCCATTATATTCCAATAAAATTTTAGATATTCTGGGTACACCCCGGTTCGCTGCTGCATACAGTGGGCTAAAACCTGTACTCGGCGCCGTATTGGGATCTGCTCTACCTAGACATTGAATGGATCTCACCCAATATTAAATATTAGTAACCAGAATGTTAGTGGCCTTATTTCTTAGCAGTGAGTGGAATCCAATATTAGTTCGAAATTAGACTAATGTTCGTGTCTAGTATATATATTAGACTAATGTCCGTGTCTATAGTCTATATATTAGACTAATGTCCGTGTCTATAGTCTATATATTAGACTAATGTCCGTGTCTAGTCTATATATTAGACTAATGTCCGTGTCTATAGTCTATATATTAGACTAATGTCCGTGTCTATAGTCTATATATTAGAGTAATGTCCGTGTCTATAGTCTATATATTAGACTAATGTCCGTGTCTATAGTCTATATATTAGACTAATGTCCGTGTCTATA